TAATTTAAAAGGACTCCTCTTAGAAAGCAATAAAATATCAAACATCGATAGCCAAATCATTATAGAAAACAGTTTGAATTCTCCCGCTAAGAGCAGCTCTCGATTATTTTGTTGTCTTCTTAGCGTCACTGACTATGCAAATTGTATAATCAAAAAGACTTTATTAAAATAAGCTGGTTTCCGATTTGGCGTTTGTTTTTATTACAAAATGACATCAGTCAGTAAATCATCTAGGCCCAGTTAGCTTTGAAAAACTTGTTTTTCAAGCACCCATAGAACCCATTTACTGTAGGAATGTTTCCATTCCTCTGTTTCAAAGTATGTCTAAGACAAACTTCTGGTGCACTCTCTCTTCACAGTGCACTTTAAAAAGAATTTCTTTTGATGCTTTGAAATTTTAAGATAACCTAACAAAAGCAAAAGCAGATGAGATGTTTGATAATAATAAATTTACATGTGGTTTACGTTTTTTATAGTCTCACTTTAGTCTTGTGGTTGGGTAATTGCAGATAATTGTTTAGAGACACTATCAAATAATAAAATACTAGAAAGAGAACACAGGTAATGGATGTTTACTTTTGATAAATAATCTATTTTTGTGTTTTATAAAACTTATATTTCACTAGTCAAGAGCTAGAACATGAAGGCTTACTGCAATTAAAAGCATCTAATTCAAGCGGTAAATTACGACGAGACTCTTCTTACACTGACCAGTTCACAAAGGAAGCTGATTGGGTTTTAGAAAAGTTAAAAACTTTGAAGAGTAGACATGAAGAAAACCTTCGACAAACAGCAGCAGATGTATCCGCTACAGCAAGAATTCAGGCTAACAAATTATCAAATACTGAAAATTCTCCAGTTCAACATTGCTTTTTTATACATGATTTGTCTTACAATCATTATTATAAATCAAGGTAAGTAATATAAATACATAATTTCTTCAATTCTTTCTTGTAATGCTTGAAAGTTTAAATTTGTAAACTTGTTTGTAATGGAGAAAATTGTATTTATGAAGGTGTTGACTGAATCCCACTGCTTATTTCCTACGGAAAATTTTAAAATCAAGACTAGTAAATAAAGTAGAACGCTGCTAGCTAAGTCGTTTAAACCAATGTTATCTTGTGTTCTTAATGGGTTTGCAAAAAATATATATGCACCGTTCAATGTTTTGATTGTCTAACTAAGTAATTATAAATAAAGCCCCCAAATACCCTGGTATAACCGAGAGTGGGGAGAGTCAACTCTCCCTCTCGAAATGCCCACATGGCCAGGCGTATACAACAACTGACAGGAAAGTCCTACCTAATGTCTTCTCGCGGCGGGGATGTTGTTTACGAAATTGAGAGGACGAAAAGCAAATGTTCGGCGTTTTAGCCGGATTGGTGGATATGAAGAGTCCACTTAGGGGAGTTGGAAAACCCTGATTCCAAACCAATAGTGCACATGGGCTCCAGGATCCTGAGGGAACAAATTACATATGAACCTATTGCTGGTCACCATGGGACTGAATCTCTCAACGTTGTTCCACTGCCTTGTCGATTAGACATTCAGGTTAAAGGCTCGGCGAGTTGCCCCCTAAGGAAACCACCTGCTTCGGTTTGGGTACCCGGGTATCTCAGTCTTCACGCAAATCGAATGGTTTATGCGGCGCATATCTGTTTAGTGCCCCTTTGTACCAATGTTTATGTGTCTAAATATATATAAATATAACTCATTCACCAAGTGCGTGGGTATGAGCTACATTCTGGGTAAGGGTTATTCATACTTCCCAGTTATCCAGACCAAAGTAAGTGGAACGGAGTTTGATCCTAGGACGTAGTGGCTGATAGTCTAATATCTTACTCAGTAAGCTACCGCTCCGGTTATCTAACTAGTGAGTTAAGCTGAGTTCACTTAAAAAGATGCCATTAGGAACGAGTTACGTCAGTAACATCTAATCCTTGTACTTTGACAAGACATCAGTAACAAACATATGCCGATAAAATCTTCAATAAAGTCAAGTATGACCATTTAAAATCGTTTTATAGTGATTATAGAAATTGACTAGTTTTAGGAATTGGGCATATTTTTCTGTTAATATCTGTACATCATTTTATATAACCTTGTTGGTTTTATAGAGTATATTACTTTAACGGATTTAGCAAAATACATCATCTCATTGTTACGCTAAAACTGTGATATTATTTATCAAGATCACGGTTTTCACGACAGGCCTATGAACACATCATGGTTTATTTGTTGTCGCCAGCATTATTATATGCTGCAATATATCCACGTTATTTAAATTTATATTTTTGCCTGAGTGAATTTATTTATTGGTAGAATTTTATTATTATGGTTATAGAATTTTCCAATGTTGCAACCTGTTTACCTGGAAATATTTTGGTGTCTTATGTTTGAAAATCTATTTGTATTTAGTGACTATCGTAAACATTCAGCAAATAAAGGCGGGCAACTTAAAGCATAGGTCCAAAATGTCCCAAAAATGGGTTGTATTGGAAATATTTACACCATTATAATCTGTCTCACTCGCCACTTTTTTATCCGTACAGCGTAAAGTGGAAATGAATAGGTGCTAAATAACTAAAACACAGGTACTCAGCAATTAGAATTGGATGATGTTTAGAATGCATCAGCTTTACTTCAACATCTTTTTATGATTTTTGGTTGAGATCATGAACCGATTGATGTTAGACCATCACAATTGAAAACCTGGAAGCACTGGACGGCCGTTTCGTCCTATTGTGGGACTCCTCAGCAGTGCGCATCCACGATCCCACGAGCCTGATAACTTGAAGCCCCAAACCTTCGGTCTTGTATCTCTACTGATCCCAGTTGAGAAGTTTCAGACCCAGCATTTCAAAACTTCATAAACTGATACTACAATACGTGTGTGATCTAGACCTTTTTAAGACTTCTGACTACCCACCTTTATTCTGGTTAGCATACCACTAAGGTAGGCACATGCAAACCACTTCTTGGCCATCTCAATCAATTAAAGTTTACAAACTCACTAATTCACCATTTTTACATAATGACATAGCTAGTAATTTGTAGGAAGATATCTGGTATCAAGTCCCTGTAACTTCCATTTTTCATACATTCAGTGACGAAATAAAAAGCAATATTTAGAGAATTGTTGCTCACCCAACTCACTGTTTTAGTATTTTCTAACGGTCATTTGATTCACATCAATGGCTGCCTTCACCCGACTGTATCATTTAGAGATCCTCTACCTCACTACTAACAAAGTGATCTGAATCATAGGTTTTTGTTTATTACTTTATTGTCTAAATTATTAAAGTAAACAGACTTTATCAAATGTGTTTCAGTCGGTAGAATTATCCCAACGAAAGTCCTAAAATTTGATGACTCCCTAGTCATAAAAATTGCCTACCCCTCCTGAAAAACTGTTTTTCCTCATATTTATATAGTTAGAATGAAATCCCAAACGACCTATTATTTTTGTATATGTGTACAAGTCAATGAATACTTCGTAGTTGCTTTGACTGGCTGTTCGGATTGATATTTTTAGCACAAATACTTTTAATTATCTATTTATATGCTTTTGTATTGACAATTTTTATCTTTGTGTTTAATTTAACAATCCATTGTCTTAGAAGATTTGAAAAAGGCTTAATTCTCCCACCCCTTGGAACTCCAGTAGGCCCTTCAGTTCCTATGTACAAGAATTACTACCCTATTCCTCCTAACACTGGGAGCTTAAATGAACGTAATGCTAATGCAGGAGAGAATAGCACTCGAATAGCTTTATCCAGCAGTGCATTTAATGTAATATTATCAGCTATTGATGCTCTCAAATCTTCCGGACAGTTACCTAGGGGTCTAAATCCAACGTTAAAAGAAAAGAATATCAATGTAACTGAGATTAAAAATTCCAATCAGCAGATTACTAACAGAGATAATCAGCAATATATATCTCCTGGTTATAATCAAATATCAGGAATTGAAGATCCAGTACACAGTAAGTAAACACCTATTCTGTTGTATGGTAAAATTCTAAGTTTGATGTGACTCATTTGTCAAGTAGAAAATGATATACTTTGATTTATACTGTTTGCAATAAGGCTAGTGATGCGAGGTTTGTACTTGGGACTTACGGAAACCATGTGTTCCAATTAATAATTCACTGCCTTAGGCGAATTCCCAATTATTGAATTTCTAGACTTTTTAACAGCTAAGCATCCCTATACGTTGCTTCTCTTCGTAAGATGGATAAACTACTAAGAACCAATACTCTCCTACACAGTCATACAATGTTTCTAATACTATCTAGTCATTCGATACAGACAGTAAAATAAACTCGTCTAATGAGTTCATATTATACTTTGAATGATGGATAGCAAACTCTTAACTACATGAGTGACATTTTTATAAATGTGACATTTCTTTTCAACACAAAACGATCTAATTGTCTCAGTAATAGTATTTTATTAGTCAAAGTATTAAGTAGTGTTACCATTAAGTTTCTTACAAATATTTTGGCTTTATCATGTCTACCGTCTAGGGGCTGTCTGAGTTGTACATTTTTTTAGTCAGATTAGTTTCATTTCTATAGCTTATACCAATTTTTCGTTTTGTCAGATGCTTCCGTAGGTTCGACTGTAAACAATACACCTTTGATTACGAAAATGGAGCATCTTAACCCCTCTCATCACCTGAACGTCTCAAGACCTGTTTATGCTCCCGTGCCAATAAACAGAGAAGGACTGAATAATATCCCAAATTCGCCTCAAAGAGGTGTTGAGTGTCACAAAAATCAAGTCGTTTCAACGTCATTTAATCGGCATGCGCAAAACAATCCTCCTTTAAAGTCACTTATTAACCCATATGAACCACAAAATATAATGCACCAACCAGCACCAGATAACCTTACAAATGATGAGAAAATATTCGACGCGTACACCATATTTTCAAGACGCTGTGAACTTAAAAAAGCTCAAAAGCAGAACTGGATAAAAACCCCAAGATATTTCAGGCGTGGAATGAGGGGTGAAGTCAACCAGGGTTCAGGCACAAACTCCCAATTCCACAATCCAGCTGGAAGACGACTATCTGCTATTGCTGATTTTCTAGGTGTTAATGAACCACCTACCGAGAGAAAACGAGTTCCTACTTCAAACCACTTAGAATCGCATCCGGCCAGTACTTTACCTTACCATTCGTATGCCTCAAACACCTTTCAATATCCTTCAACTCTAAATAATCATACATCTTTTTCTCAACCTGTATGCCCTCCCGTGTATGCTAATCAGTCTACTAACCATAAAACCCCTTCGATTCCACTCAATCTAATGAATTTGCCCAGATCATTACCACCATATGCCACTCCTAATTCGTATACACCCACAAACCCACATACCAATAGTTCTTTTTGGCCTGTTCATCTCAACCTTGATTCATCCGTACCAAGTGCCTCAAAGTCATTACAGTACTATAATTCTTCGTTTCTTCCTACATTCAAGTAACTTCATTTCATTTGATTTATTTGGAGCGTCTACCCAGTGATACTTAAACGGATTAAGAACTTTGTATATAAACTAGTCACTAAAAATGTTACGTAGCCATGTACATAGAATTGAATACATTTTTATCGATTTGCATGTTCTAATCACTACTTACGTGAAGTCTCAAGAAATCTACTTGTAATAAGTATCTTGAGATTCCCCGAAATTCCTTTCTATGAAAATCAGTCGCAAATGTTGTAAACACATGCCACTTTTTCGTACTCTATATTAGCACAGTAGGAGTGAAAAGCACACAAATAGTAATAATTATATTCTTAGTAGTAGTGAATTTGACTAGTTTACATGCAAACCACCACTGTTCACGCAGACACGTCAGATTAAGTGATCGTTCAAGTGCTTAAATAGCTTGCATATATTTACAAGACCCATATAGTTGGGAGATTGCTCAGTTCAGAAATTAGATCATAAAGCCAGACCAATGACTATTAATGTATGGTACATTCGGTTCCTATATCCTGTCTTGTAGATATAGTGGCAGATTCAACCGCTCACTCATGACCGCAAAAAAATTAGAAGCCTGTTTCTTGGGCGTTTTCACAGACCAAACTCTTGCTGTTAAAGAAATGGTAGGGAAGAACGTTATGCACTGCATGCTTAGTTTGTATTTGAATTGATGTTGCCTGTAATAAGAATGAAGTAAAAACCTTAGTACTCTATTCCATGAAATTACTGACTTATGTTTAGCTTTATAAGAGAGAAACCCATGAGTGGCTCAAACGAAGCTACAATATAAAATATAGAGTACATGCTTAATTCATCTTTTTCCAACAGTAACTATTTTAATACCATTGTGTTTCTCATTATCTGAGTATTGTGGTATTTCGGGATACAATAGTGTAGGTCAAAGTGTAGTGAGTAGCGGTATTCCTAAGTACGAACCTTATTTCATACAGCGTTGTATCTAAAACTATTAAAGATGTCCAGTCCTGAAATACAGCTTAAGAGAAATGAAATCAGTATTGATTCAGATGCATTTCCGTTACATCAAGTGATCTAGTATGGACTGTACGTAGGCTTTCGATACATTTTCAATAATATTTTGGCTTAGTAACGAATAATTAGTCCATAGATTCCAATGATTGTAACTGATATATAATCCATTGATTAATATTTTCGGTTGGTGTACTGAGACCATTGTCGAAACGCTTCAATCTTTTTACTTCAGTTATGGTGCCAGTAAAGAAGAGGATAATCCTCTCGTTCACTGTATTGAAGTCGGGGTTGCGAAATATTACCATAGTGCACGGACGTATTAAAGACTACTAGTAGTTTTCGTCAGCTACATTGATCTAAACAGCGACTCGTATTTGATATTGTTTTACTTGAATTTTCCCATTGATGTTTTTTGGACTGAAATTGATCAGTCTCTTATTGGCATATGTGCATACTGTGCGTATGCCTCGATATTGCCTAAATTTACAAGCATTATAAGCAAAGATGGATAGTGGCTAGCAGTGGAATCCAGGACGCGCGTTTCGTCCTGTTTGGGACTCGTCAGCTGGATGTACCTGCATCTCAGAGTTGATGTTCACTCTGGGACTCGAACTCAGTACCGTTCGCTTCAAACGCCATCGCGTTATCCACTTAGCTACTGAGTCCTGATAGCCGCTTGCTTGTGCAATGGGTTGAAGTTGAATTCACTCGTATTGTTATACATTCCTCGTCACAATTGTAATGATATAAAATTACGTGAACAGTTCAACTCAATGACTAGAGAGCTGATAATGTTGCAGCTACTATAAGCTTTTTCATACTTGTTGCTTACATATATAAAATTTAGCCGAATGAAACCGAGCAATAATTAATAAATTGTATTACCGAGTGACAAAACTATTTATCAATAATTCTTTATGTACGAATAAGTAAATCGTTGACCTTTAAATTCAGACTAAACCTTAGTTATGTTTCAAAGATTTCTTTTAGCAATAGACGTGCAAGCGACTGGAATCGAAACGTATGCTTTCTGAAATTAATTATTATTTATTCCATTTAAACACAAACACTGGTACAAGGGGGTACCAAATATATATGCGCCACACTTCATCATCCGATTTGTGCGAGGGCTGAGATACTGTCCGGGCGCCAAAACTGGAATCAATCACTCTATCAGATTGCTTTTTATAACCTGAAAGTTGTAAACTTTGTCTCTTCATGCATTTGAAGTATGTGATCATACAACAGCATGACTTTGTTTTCCGGTTAAAAACCAACCCGCAATCATTGATGCTATAGTATCAATTGGTTTAAAAAATAATATACGTAGAGATGACCACTATATCAGAGTGACATCTACGACTGAATTATGGGGATAAAAAGAATCTACGTGAATACAATCGTAAAGACGAGTAGGATAGATGTTATACTTGGAAAATTTGAATCCCTAATGACAGATAAAAAACATGTGTAAAGCTTAGTCTTGTTTCACATCTAGTTACAAGAGAATATGTGGACAATAGCAATCACTTATATAAAACCAAGGAATTAACCAAGGTCCATAGACACATCTTCATCGCTTGTGTGCAGCGATATGTTAGGAGCGTTAGCAGATTTTTCTCTATAATTAACATCCAACTGAAGCACCGATTTGTTAGGCTTTAAAGTCTCACTTGGTGCCATTTTAAAACGAATCCGGTTGGATCCTGGGAGACTTCCCGGTCCAGCAGCAGTCATAAGGTTTTCAGGAAGAGTATCTGGAATATCTAAAACAATAGCAAGAGTAAATAGAATTCCTTGAGTTCTCCAAATTCAGCGACTGGATTTTAGGAAAATTGTAGCAAACATATAAAAGGTTTATTATTCATCTTCATACGTAATATACAGTAATCTTAAACCCATAGTTGAATCTTTGTTTTGATTAGATCACTCAGGTACATAAAATGATTTATACTGTATTTTGAGCAAGAGCTATAGATTCACTGTGCGACCAGGAATGGTATTAATCTATTCTGATAAATAATCGAAAATGTGTACATCGGCAAACACGGCATACACTCCGTGACCATTTAAACAATGTTTCCTGTCAATTGAATTCTGAATCTAGCATCACAGTAGTCTGTAAAGTCTATAAAGCCTTTAAAATGTCTTAAAAGGCAATGACATTTTACCAACGCTCCTGGCACTATGAATTACATGGAAGCGATGGTGACAACTATGATGTTCTATACTTGCATATCACAACATCCATAGGGTTTTCATACAACGCCAGCGTGCCATAACTCATATCTGGATAAGAAATGAAATCTCCGATGATAGGATCTGAACAGTCAAATAAAATTTAAAGTGTAAGTAAGGTATCGCACCAAATTTTACATAGTAAGCCATAACAAGTATGGGATTAGAAATGGATCCTGACTGGTATATTAGTGTTTTTCAAAAGAAATTGTCCCGTCAAGTTTTTTTGGAAACGTGCAGCTCCTTGTATGCGAGAGGCACCTTCTTCTTCATACAACAGCACATATCCCAAAGCTAATATTTCTGCCCAGCTTCCATCCAATGTGTTTCACGTATTTTAGGAACCGCCAGACTGTATTTTATTTTCACAGTCACTTGAAAGATCCTTTAACTCCCGATGCAGAGCCTAAATAGTCAAATGACTTTTCTGGCTGTCATTCTTTTAGCAAGATTTTTTTCTACGGGATAGAGTTGCCAATCTAATCCATAACCCTTCTTTACTCGGGCTTTGGACCGGTAGTGACTCTATAAGGGCTCCACGCTACTCCATACCCCTATTATTTGCTGACGCTAGGTGGAAAAACAGTAGAAGCAATCAATCTGTGGGACAGCAGCTGTTTGTTCATCATGGCTTTAGGAGAACTCATGAAAATCATGCAACTCAGTGGCATGAGATGTTATTATAATTTAGAATAGAAACTGATAGTCATGCATGTGTAGTTTCCCTTAATTGCGCTGCATGTTTTAATATATACTATTCTTTTATATTTACTAATTGATTAATTATATTGACAGTCGATATTTTGTGAGTAGAAATCTGTGTGCATACACCGTAATAGTGTATATCTATTTTCCTGCATTCACTTAATATAGAAAATAAAAAGGCTGGTCGATTCAATTCACCCTTACCTTTTCCAACTTTATGATTCGAAGCATAAATTCCTTTTCCCGTTAACGCTTCAATACATACATTCAGCATTGTAGAAGCCACATTGCTAGAAGTAGACGCACAGCTCGATGGTTGGACCCCAACAGATCGGTGAAGATAGTCTACTGCAACTTCAAGGTTACCATTGATTGCATGCAACATTGCCAAGCACGCAAGTGTTGTTGGAGACTCAGGCACTAAGCGAAGTGCAAGTTCATGCATAGCTATTGCTTGGCTGTAAAGACTAACTCAGTTCAAATAAAAGGGTTTTAACATATTTATGTAAAAGTACAGCGAACTAAGTAGTTAGTTATATACTAAATATACCAATACGCTCAACAATCATATGTACAACTTTTTGTCCTAATTATCTACAAATAATCATAATGACCGAAAATTGAAATGCCGCGATGAAAAACATATACAGACTGGTCAGGTGACTCAAGATAGATCTAAGCATTTTTGACTGATTCAGACAAAGAATGATAGTTATATTCCTTATTACAAGACAGTGTGAGCTTATTAACACTATTGGTATTGCGACAATATTTCGTGAGATTTGATTAAGGCTATTATTTCTCAAACGATTGTGATACGAAGTTTTCTTATATAAAATTTCAACGAAATAACACTGCGGTTGTGTCTTTATTGACAATTTTTTGTTTATGTTCGCGTGATTACTTGACAAAATATTTTACTGCCAAGAATAACCGTTATTCTGTTTTATACATGTGTTATTAGTTAGGCAAGTAATGTTTTTCACATATAACTAAATAACACTACACTTGTATTATATTCTCAAGTACAATTAAATCTCATTTAACAACAGTTAAACAGCTTAAACAAATATCACTAGGTATGGTCTGTTTATATCTACTAAATTGTGTGAGTTTTCAACTGACAAGAAACCTGTTAGAATAATAAGATACTAATATTTAAAACATTGTAGACAAAATTTCATTTACCCCATTTTC